TGGCAGTTGATGAAAATCACAAAAATCCCGATCAAATGTTGACATCTTGGGCTATTTTTTACGCGTCCACTTATTTTTTTTTTTCGGATCCCGCGGCGACGAGAACGGACGGCCCGAGAGACGTGGAAAGCTCAACAAAAGAAAAACGAAAACAAAAAATCATAAAAGATCATAAAAAAATCATAAAAAAATCATAAAAGACGTCTGGATCTCCCCGGACACAACGGGAGATTATAGGCAAATGAAAACCTGCAGAAAAAGCCAAACCGATACGGCGAGACACCTGCGAGGGAATCCGCGCTGCGTGCACGTAGACGTATTCCCTTTCGCCCGATGCGCGTTCGTGCGTGACTTTCCCTCATCTCGCTGTCGAGACCTCGGTTCATCCATTGTCATGCGAGATATAGGTCAGAAACCGATCTCTTCCCAGCCCTTTCTTTCTTCCTCGTCGCCCACACGCGTCATCGATGGTCGGACGGCCGACGCGGTCGGCCGTTTTCGTCGCACCTGGACGCGAAAAGATCGGCGTCGTTCGTCTTCTCGGGACGGAAGATGCGATTCGTCGGCGCGAAGCCTGCGTCGAATCGCATTTCACTTAATTGGCAATAGATTCCGAGTCTCGGCGGGCCGTTCGTCACAATTTCCGCGGGACGAAATCAAGGCCAAGGGGTCCAGATGGTCGAAGGGCCCCGTGAGAAAGCAAAAGGAGATTCTCGAGCAGGTTATGATTTGGACGCATGGGGACGCGGTGCAGATGGTGAAAGTGAGCAGATACAGATGTTTACCGCGTTTTCCTTCTCGGCTTCGTCCGGCCATCACGCGAGCGTCGGCCGTCCGGCCATCACGAGAGTGTCGGCCGGACACCTAGACCTTGAAACGAGGAGTCTTGGGAAAATTCCCCAGAGAAATCCCTCGGAACATCGACTTCGACCCCTTTCCTCACCCCTTTCCTCGACCCTTTCCTCAACCCTTTCGTCACGGCCGTTGCTCCCGGCAGAGAACCGGGAGCAACGCACACGATCGAGACCGAATCGTCGAGACACGTTTCCCAGCGAAAAACCTCGAAAGTTGATGATTCCTCATCATTAACCCACACAAGAAAACCGAGAAACGTCTGGTAGCGCCGACGACCTCAAAAATTCCATTATGCGGTTTTCTGCAATGGAAAAGAGCGTCCTGGAAAAAAAAACCATCATCCGACGACCACCGCAGCCATTCCATATGGGAAATCGATTATCGGACCTTTTTTTTCCCTCCCGCACCCTACTATTACGGTCCAGAAAACAGAGTAAGAGCGATCGGATACATGTGGACACCGGTTAAGAGTCCGGTTAAGAGCCCGGTTAAGAGCTCGGTTACGAGCCTGTTTCCGGCTCGTCCTCATTCACTCCGACCCGGTTCGCGTGTGTGCGCCTGGCACCGGGCCCATCGGTTCGCGTGTGTGCGCCAGGCACCGGGCCCATTGGCTCTCGTGTGTGCGCGCCAGGCACCGGGCCCATTGGCCCACGACTGCCCGCAATGGTTTCCCTCTTGGCTCTACTAATCGCTCGAATGAAGATCGGATTCCTCCGTCTCATTAACATTTTAAGATCGTTAACGACGAACGATATCATTAAAATAAAATCCTTGCGCCAATTTCGAGTGAAAGCCTTTCACATTTTGGAATCGGAATTACAGGCGGAATTCGGAATTACAGGCGGAATTCGATCCTCAGCAGTTTGCGTTTTCCTTTCCATTTCGGAAATGGATCGACGGCGACTTAAACGCATGCGGGAAATCGAGTTTCGGAAAATACAGACGGCACGAAACTTCACAAATCTAATACATTCCGCAAAATAAATATTAAAAAGAATTCGCAACCGATCGGTGTCGCTCTAAATTCATGTCTGCATTCCAATTTTTAAGCTCGTCTCCGTCCTTCGAAAATCGCAGAAAATGACATTTCGTGGAATTTTCTGAATCCGACACTTCCTCACGAAATATTTTCATTTGAACTCGAACCATCCTTCATCGACTCCTCTATCATCATGATTCGCTCACAGGATGTCGAATATGAACTGCAAGCCATCTAAATGCCTGTGATGAAAGGAATAAATGGATGGAAATGAAAAAGGAAATGAATGGATGGAAGCACGCCGACCTTAACGGCAGAGCCATAAAACAGATCGTAACCCGATGATTACCCTGCGAGCGATTGTCTCTCCCAGGTGACCCTGCTGCTGACGGTGGCAGCAGTTCCATGGTGCAAGGGTGACGGAGGCGGCGGACACCACGGAGGAGGCGGCGGCTACAGCCTAGGCTCGAGTGGCGGCGGCGGATTCGGCGGCGGCGGCGGCGGATATGGCGGCGGATCGAGCGGAGGCGGCGGATTCGGCAGCGGCGGATACGGCGGCGGATCGAGCGGAGGCGGCGGCTACGGCGGTGGCGGTGGCGGCGGCGGCGGCTACGGCGGCGGCGGCGGCGGAGGCGGCTTCAGCAGCAGCGGTCTCGGCGGACTCGGCGACCTGGGAAGCAGCGGCAGCGGAATCGGCGGCGGCTACGGGAGCAAACCCAAGTCCCACGGATACGCTCCCAGCATCAAGTACGCCGGCCCGATCGTCTACACGGCCGAGAAACCTCCCATCGTGATTTTCCCCAAGCCACCGAAAGTCGTGAGTCGTCTTTCCTCGGTCTTTCCTCGGTCTTTCCTCGGTCTTTCCTCTTTTCTCCCGGAAGGACGCGATCGCGATGCGCTCGAGAAAACTTTAAATCGTTTGAAAATCTTTCGGCGATTCGAGCCGACGTGGCCGACGCGAAGACGTGGCTGGCTTCGGGCCGAATTCGCGACGCGGTAGCGTTCGATGGAGATTTATAACCTACGGGGTACATTCCTTTTCTTTATCTTCTTCACCCCGTCGTAAAAAGATGGGAAACTAGAGTTATTACCTGCCTACATATTGTCGATCCACACGATGCTACGGAAGGCAATTTCATCGCTAGCACGTCGCTACCCCACCCAGGTACAAAATCGCTACACCCACCGACTCGGTCGCATCGAAACCGTTCCTCCGAGCATCGAATTCAGACGTGATTTCCAAATGGCACTAACGGAGAAAGGGAATTTTTTAAAATTTTTTAAAACAGAAGGCGAAGAAGGGAGGAGGAGGTTACGGCCACGGAGGAGGAAACAAGAAATCTCGACCGATCAAGTACGTCCCCCTTCCCCACCACGAACTCCCGGTCCTCATCTACCAGAGCGATTTTCAACCACCCATCCACATCGTTCACACGACACCGAAACCCGACTATCACGAACCCGTCAGCTCCTACAGCGCGCCGCAGCCTTCCTACGGCCCACCTCCGAAGGCAAATTACGGTGCTCCACCGCAGCAATCGTACGGACCACCGGAGCCATCTTACGGTGCTCCTCCGGAACCGTCGTACGGCGCACCGGAGCCTTCGTATGGGGCACCTCCGGCGTCGTCTTACGGCGCACCTCCATCGTCGTCTTACGGCGCACCTCCATCGTCGTCTTACGGCGCACCTCCATCGTCGTCTTACGGCGCACCTCCATCGTCTTCCTACGGAGCACCTCCATCGTCTTCTTACGGAGCACCTCCAGCATCGTCGTACGGACCCCCGTCTCTCCCATCCTTCGATCACGAACCGGTCCACGTGAAAGCCCCACCCCCACCGGCACCGGTTCACGCGCCCGAGATCGACCCGATCTTTGCCGACTCGAAGCCCAAGGCATCGTATGGGCCTCCACCGTCCCCGAGTTACGGCCCTCCACCGTCCCCGAGCTACGGCCCACCGAAGGCCACGTACGGACCACCCAAGAAGGCGAAGAAGGCCGGCGGTTACGGACATAAACCCGCTCCTGCTCCTCATATCATCTATGCCGGACACCCACCCATCCACATCTACCAGCAACCCGAAATCAAAGTGAAGGCGAAGAAGAAGAAGCCCAGCCCCAGCTACGGAGCACCGATGAAGGCATCGTACAGTGCGCCTCAGCCATCGTACGGACCTCCACCTCAACCATCGTACGGGCCTCCACCTCAGCAATCGTACGGACCTCCACCTCAGCAATCGTACGGCCCTCCGCCTGATTCAAGTTACGGTCCTCCGACCCCGTCCTACAGTGCACCGGAGCCATCATACGGACCACCGGAACCATCATATGGACCACCGGAGCCATCATATGGGCCACCGAAAGCTTCCTATGGACCTCCCAGTCAATCGTATGGCCCACCTCCAAAAAAGAAGAAGAAGAAGGTCGAAGTCTTCCATCCGGCCCCTAAGGCTTACAATAAGCCTCCGATCATCATCTACCAAGGCATCAAGCCACCGGTTCATGTATACAAGTCACCGCAAAAGGGTGGAGGAGGATATGGATCTTCCCTGGGCGGAGGAGGAGGAGGCGGCTATGGAGGCAGCAGTGGAGGAGGAGGAGGAGGAGGTGGTGGTTACGGAGGCAGCAGCGGAGGCGGATTGGGTCTCTCATCCATCGGAGGCGGAGGAGATATTGGCGGATACGGCGGAAGTGGTGGAGGATTTGGAAGCAGCGGGGGCGGCGGCGGTGGCGGATATGGCGGCGGGGGCGGCGGCGGCGGAGGATACGGCGACAGCCTCGGGAGCGGAGTCGGCACCGGACACGGTCTGGGCGGATACGGCGGAAGCGCAGCCGGCGGCTACGGAGGCAGCGCCTCCGGAACGAGCAGCTTCTCGGTCAGCTCCAGCGGAGGCAACAGCTACAGCGGCGGAGGCAGCGGAGGCGGAGGCTACGGCAACACCCACCGCCACTCCATCGTCCTCGGCGGAGACGACATGTGGATCCCGATCGACGTCCCCGACGGAGAGGCCGTCCCCCCCCTGAAGGCGATCGAATTGGAGGCCCCGAACCTCGACTTCGCCCCCCGGGAGGGTAAAGTCGCCGCCGACGAGAGATCGGACGGCGACGAGCCCTATTACGTCGCCTCCGTGGTGGAGGTGGAGCCACAGGTATATTCGGCCTACCGGAAGGCTCCATCCCACGAGGTGACGCAAGAAGAACCCGAACTGAAAGTGGTCCGAGCAGTCGTATCCGTGAGTGCAGACCGCGCAGATACCAGCGGCTCCAACAGCTAGAAACTCGTCAGATCTAGAAGAACTCACATGGGTGTCAAATACAATCTCGAGAATCGGGTCGGGCGGGATGTTTTCATCCTGCCTCGACGGAACCTTGGATCCCTCTCGGACATCCCCCGGCACAAATCCTTTTCCAAAAATTGTTTTTTTTTTTTTTTTTTTTTTTTTTTTTACGAGGAGGAAAAAAAAAAAAAGAAATACAAAATAAAAGGGGGAAAACAATTTCATTACTCATAAATTAGGACCAACAGTAACAACAGACGAATAAAGGATTGCCAGACAACAAACCAGCCAACAAAAATCAACAGCAACAATAACAATGAAATGCCATCTTGTTTCGGTGCGATTTCTCGAAAAAAATCGGGGACTAGATGAACCACGAGCCAGGACGGATCCCGTCTTCTCGCTCCGAATCCTTCGGGAATCCGGTCGGAAATGGCAACCGTGGCAACCGGGGGTTGCCTCGCCGTGCTCGAGAAACGATCGGCCGTGGCCCGTAGCTCATCTCAGTGGATCGACAATAATGCGTTGCGAGAAAACAACGAGAAAAAAAAACAGATAAATCTATAAATATCGGTCATACTTTGAAGCTCACGTTACTGAGAAATGGTACAAATGAATGCTTCGTTTGCTAATTAATGGAAATTCCGACGACCACGTTCATTAACATAGTCAAACGACAGGCACCCTCACTATCACCCTCGACACGTAAATTCCCTCCAGTCCGACCGAGTTCCCCAAAATGCATCGGAAGACGAAGACACAAACGAGACGAGAATTTGGTCCCGAGCCAACCGAAAGGAGGTCACTCGCCCGAGCGAATGGCCAACGAGTCAAGAGAAAAACCTCCACGGGACCAAACGTCCGTCCCAGAGTCGGTCTGGGGTTCCCAAACGCAGGGATCTCAGATCTAAATCCAGATCTAGGGATGTGCTAAGATAACACCCGATGCCATTATAATCAGATCAGGTAAAATTACATATCGTGCCGTGTTAAATTAATTCTCGTGATCTCCCGGCAAATTACGTTAATACGCTGTTTCTAGAGAGCAGAGATATATCATCATTTTATAATTGACATTCGTGTGTTAAGCAGACGTTTGAGCTCTTTCAACGACAGAAAGGCCTCGCCTTCAACGAAACACAATAACGTCGGGCCTCTTTGCATCGCGTCACGACGTAAAAAAGATGCAACGGTGATGCCGATGCAAAGTATACCCTGCTCTGTTCGCGATTACTGTTTTTACAGCGTCAACCTCATTTTAACATTATCATCCCCATAACGTCATAACTATGGTGGAATCCGTGATTAATTTCGCAGGTCCATTTCGTCGGTAAGTATTTCTCGGAGGCGTTTTTTCTCTTTTGACATGACATGGCATTACCGAAATCGGGCAAACGGCACGGACATGTCGACCATGACCACGCAGTAGCTGCTCCTGCAGTCGGCACGAGCAGCCGCTGCATGTGATAGACTTGATGTGAAAAGCATTTACACCGTCATTCGACGAATCTTTCTCATTTCCTTAGCCAGTTCTGAGGGATCTTCATGTCGTCATAAAGTTCGAGAAAACGACGAATAAAGCTAGATTTATGGCGTTTATGACTTATCGCAGATGGGCGTGAGTGCTATCACATCTACACAAGTGCGTCAGATATGACACACGACGATATATAGAGTGTCCTAGTGTAAATAGGCTCAGTAAGACTCATATTGCCCATATTTCCGGAAAGCTTAACAGTAGCATCGTTGTGGAGATGGAGAAGGTAGAGGGAGTAGGGAGGGTGGAGGGAGTGAGGAGGATGGAGGCTGGAGGGAGTGAGGAGGATGGAGGGTGGAGGGAGTGAGGAGGGTCGAGGAAGGGGGGAGGGTGGAAGGAGTGGGGAAGGTGGAGGGAGAGGGGAGGGTGGAAGGAGTGGGGAAGGTGGAGGGAGAGGGGAGGGTGGAAGGAGTGGGGAAGGTGGAGGGAGAGGGGAGGGCAGTGGGTCAGGGGAAGAAGTGGGAGTGGCGTACAGGTAGTGTTCTACTGGGCCAGATGGCTAGGGAAGAATATTCCTGAGCAACCGATTGCAGAAACGACCGATAAATATTTTGGCATTTGAAGTAAAAAGTTGCCGACATTAATTTAAGGAAAAGCTAACAGCCTCTTTATACGAGTTCGCAAACTATTTCTCACCGCGATGAAGCCAAACAATTTTTCCTACGATCTTCGAGTTTTGAGATCGGTAAAATTCAGACTCGCAAAAGCGTCCTCTGTCCTCAAGGAAAGGAAAAGTGTCCTCGATCCCACTTAATACAGTGAGTTCGAATAAAATATAATACGAGATGCGTCCAAAATGATTGAGGTACAGCTTCATCTCTCCTCGAGCAGCATTGCATCCCGTATTGCTGTTTGCTTACTTCTACACCTGTGCGAAATTTACTGCTCCATATTTGATATTATTATTACTGTCATTGTTTTTTAATACAAACTAGAGCTGTTGTTTAAACTGACTGAGTAAGCATGGATAGTTTCAGGACTAATTCTCTGGGGGAAGGCAGACCCTCCACAGACTTCTTCGAGTGCGAATCAATGCCGGCAGCATTATCTTGCCTTTATTATCTTGCCAGAAAGCGAATGACTTCCTTTTCTCTCTCTCTCTGTCTGTTCAGTCGGTCATTTAGCCGAAGGTACTAGAAATTCAGGACTCGGCAATATATGCTGCTTGGAAACACTGCTTACGGATTTCGAAGAATGGTGTGTCGATGCCCATCAGCACCAAGGCTGCAAAAAATATTCAAGTACAGGGTTCATAAAATCAACTGATCGTTCCGTGATGCTGATAATGGAATCATATTTCGCACGCCTGGTTATGGTAATTGCTTCGCATGGTGATTGCCTCTCGAAAGACTCTCATCGAATCGTTTCGCTGCATAATCGCACGTTCCATCACGGTCTCTGTGGGTCACCCTGGATTCTTGTCGTTTCATCATCTGTGTCTCATCCGGAAAGCGCTCATTGACTTTCATCAACTCCAAGATCAATGATGACTCAAGCTATTCGCTGATTATATGTTTTTGACTGATGAGGCAAATTACCGTCTGTACTTCTCCTCCGCGATCAACTCACGGCACTTAAGCCGTCTCCGGCCCGACATCGCGCAAAGCTGGCATGATTTGCAAGAGCGGAGGAAGGCGCTGCACACTCGCCCATGCAGCAGTACTTCATCGTTCGTGCAGCAGTACTGCCTCAATAGCTTTGAGGCACGTACCTGCTCCATTTAGTTTTATTTCGTGCCCCCGGGTCTGATTGCTCGCTCCTTTCGGTTTTCCTGGTTTCTCTCATCTGGATGCACAGACTTGGCCAAAAAAGTAAGCCACTCGAAATTTTGCTCTAAAATCCATATATTTGAGCAGATTGACTTGAAAATTTAATGGTACGTCGCCTAATATGTTCTCCAAGAGTTGCTAAAATGTAATGCGCCTGTTGCTATCCATTCTAGAGTTTAGGCGGATCTTGTCGAAATGGTCAAAATTCGGAGTAACGAATAACACGGAACGAATCCACATTTGCTGGATGCTGGATGAACGCCTGAAAATGTATGCACATGCATTAAATTTTCGGACAGTGGAAAAAAAATTGATGGAAGTCCAGTTACGTTTCCGCGATTGGGTCAAAAGTGAGTCTGACCTTTGACCTTTAATTCCAGACAAAGGTCATTTTTATTGATATTTCCTTCGGAAAAATTATTAAAACATTTGCAATTTCTTATGCATTAAATTCTCAAATGTTCAACTTGGGACTCCCATGGGATCAGGAGATGCAAACAATAATGTGGCTGCAAGTGGCCAAATATCCGAAAAATGTGCAAGAAATATCTGGATGCATCCAGTTCGAGCAAATTGTAATCAGAATTGAGTAGTCTGAACTATCAGGAGTATTCTAGAAAGTTATTCAAGCGTTCGAAGTTTCCAGAAAGAAACGGTGGAACGTTCTGGAAAGTTTTAGAGGTATCCCAAAGTTCCAGGATCTCGCCAGAAATGTCTAGAAAATTGCACTTTCCTTAGATTATGTACAGGCTCCCTCAGCATCGTTGTACCAGTTTCGTTTTCTCAGTCGTTATGCATCACCTTGCGATGTTACGTGCTATTCGTTACTGTTCGTCCTCTTTGTCCTCGATTGGGAAACGAGAGAGATGGATGAACCGCAGTGGACGAATTCCTGTCGCAACCCATTCGGCAAAGCGAAACCCAGGAAGAATCTGAGGCCAGTCTTTTTTCCATGGACTCCCTTCTCTTTGACTCGAAGCCAAGATACGTGATGATCGAAGGAGTAGCTTCAGCTTCAGGGGCTTAGTTGAGTTTTTTTTTTAAGTCCTTGAGTGAAGCCTACGAGTGAACAAGGCATGAAGACTGGAGAAAGAGTCATAATATGAATTAATGGCTTAGCATTAATGGAACACCGAAAGGCACTAGCTGGAAAGAGCATGGAATCTACTTTGCCATTATACAAAAAAGGGAATTTTATTCAGCAGTACTGATCGAACAGGGTAAGTTAAATGAGGTGCGCCGAATTAAGTACTGGAGTTATAAGAGGGTACTCTCATATTCAGTGAAATATCTCTCAGTTGATCTAATGAAAGGATTAGCATGAAAAAGTACTTCTTCGTGCACACTTCGTTGGTGGCATATTGCACAAAAATCAGGACATTTACCCCGAATGACCTCACTTCTTTTAAAAAGAGTTCTTGCCATTTAACTGTCAATGGCCATTTTTACTTTTAGAAATATGGGGATTTTCATCACTCTATCGCTTATAACTTCTGATCCCGGGGGAGTCCCAATTTGAAATTTTGAGAATTGATGCAGAAGAAATTTCAAAATGTTACAATAATTTTTTGAAGGAAATAAAAACGACCTTTTTCTAGAATTAATGGTCCAAGGCCAGATCCTTTGCCTTTTGAAATTTAATTTCATTGAATGTCCTTGAGTTACATATTTGAAAGGGCACGAAGACACCT